TGCAGACTATGTGCCCTCATGCTGTGCATTCATGGCACCCATACTTAAATCTGAAAATGTCAATGGTAGAAGGCAGTTGAGTGTTATCTAGTCCATCCCAGTGACACTGGAGAAAACCAAGCATCCTGAGAAATCTAGGTCCTGGAAAACTGCAAAAGGCAAAAATAACATGCCAGAGCTCCACAGCCAGCACCTCACGAATCTGGTGGCTTTTCCAGATTGAATTTTCCATCCATTCATCATTTCTCTCACGATGCTATCCCCCTTCAGAAGTCATAGATGAAGTGGAATATAATTTTTAAGTATTTAATTTCCATAAGCCATCATGAAGCATAATTTTTACCATGTTCCAAGCTCTATGGAGCTCATAAAGAAATCAGCTGTCACCCTGCCAGGTGCCAGTGACAAAGGAGGGGTGTGGTCCAGCTGGGTGGCTAGATGCAGAGAGAGGGCTCCTGAGATGTTCATTTCTGTACAGGTGGCCTTTCTAGGTTGATTTGGAAGTCATGCGCTTCCTCTACACAGAAACAATGACTTAACGAGTGAGTAGAGCACACTCGTTCTCGAAACTGAGACTGGGAGAATCAGCCACATTAATGCTCCTGACTTCTGACAGTGCTGCCAGAAGAGCAGACTGGGGACCTGCTCCTTGATCAGACTTCGGAAATTACAAGGCAATCATGTTGTTCCACAGGAGTACTTGTGGCTTACTAGTGACAGGCACTGTTTTAATGTTGGTCCATGCTGTACGTCACTTCATTTCCTCTACGATCTCAGGGAACACAACAGCTGTTTTCCTCATTTTGCAGACAAGAAAACAGAGACACAGAGTTAAATACTCATCCAAGTTCACTGACTTTTAAGAAGTGAAGCTATTATTCAGAGGCCAGCACCTCATGGATCTGGTGGCATTTCTAGATGTCACTGCATGGGCCCCCCTCCTAAGTGCAGCTATGTTGTCCTTCCCCTTCCAGGAGAGAGCTCTGTAAAGCCCACCACTAGCTTCTGGCAATATCCTGATGGAGAGTTTCTGGGTGGAGCAGAGATTTCCCATCACGTCAATCAGAGAAGTGACCGACACTAAGTCCAAAGAACTATAGGTCTATGGTTTGAGTAAGGCATACATACTTAACATGATTTCAAGTCCTTCGTCCCAGTGGCCACATAACTGATTTTAAAGCCATCTGGGTGGTCAGAATGAGGTGTGACGGGTGTGTGGGCACTTCCACCTCCCACCTGGGTGCAGTCCGCCTGTCACAGGTACTTCAGAGACGGTCTACGTGTGAAGAACCGAATCGAGAATGTCCACTCCAGAAAGGTTCCATAAGCATTTCAAAACATCGCCATCTAAATGTATGTCAGGGAGTTTTAAAAATAGCAGAAGAAGCGTTAGAAACACTTTCTCACTGGTAAAAAGTGCAATATGTCTTCCGACTCCTTCCGACAGCCGAGGTTAGGCTATTCCTCAGAAGTGCGGAGCGACAGTGTGAATAACATCGCACACTATCCCCGTGTGACCATCGTGGAGGCCTGGCCAGCCTGCTTAGGACACACACCAAGTGGGTGGGGGCACCCCTACGGCAGTGCGGCCTGCAGCTCACCAAATCCCAAACCATGAGTTAAATTAAAGCCAATATGCACTTTTCAAGGGAAATATTATTTAGAGCTTTATGTAGACACGGTTCGCAATGACCCCCGCACACGCCTACCCTCCCCTGTGGTACAAGCCACTTGACAATAATCACGTACCATGGAGTAATGAAGCTCATTTGGGATTATGCATATGACTGCTTGGCAAGAGAGGTATGGGCGTCTCATAGTTTGGCTGAACATTTAAAGACTTTAAACCTCATTATTCCAAAATTATAGGCCAAAATTCCGGTGCTATACAACTATGCCTCCTGTGTATATGACAGCGATGGAGGCAGAAATAGCACAAACAATAGACGCCACTGGAGAATACAAGTAACCCTGCAAACTGGGAATAAAGAACCTTTCATAAAACTTCGGACAATTCCAGCTGTATGTCAACAACCATAGCTAACACGTAGGCAGCCTGCCCAAACGCCTACACATGCGTAGCTTTGCCAAATTGCTAAGACTTGCATGAAAGTGCAAATTCTTAACAGAACTCTCATTTAGAGTTCTCAAAAAACTCTAGTAACATCTTAATTTGAGCTTCTGGATAACCAACTTTAGTAAGCCTTAAAACAGCTGTAGGACACTACTAAGCAGTTTTTAATTTTATGCTAAAATCAAAATTCTAATAACTGCATGAATATTTGCCCAGAAGAACAAAACTTGTGGCCACCAGGAGGCAGTGAGACACCCGGTGCTGAGCTCAGAGCCCGTGTGGGAGGCGCATCCCAGCACAAGGACTGTCTCAGTCCACCGGAGAAGGTGCCCGTGCAGAGTCTGTGCACCGCGGTCGGGGAGGGAGATCCCGGCAGCCCCCACGTCTCCTACCGCTTCTCTCCCTCAGCCCTCAGTATTCTGAAGTGTTCAGTATGTTTGAGATCCTTTTTGGGAAACAAATCAATATGGCATTTTGCTGCCAACTAGCCTACAGACTACAGGGTTGCTTCCCATTTACACAACTTAGTTTCTCCTCAAAACTAACATCCCCAAGGGAGTTAGTTAGCCCTGCAAATGCCTTCAGGGCATTTTCCCTCCCATTCTTCCCCCACCAACGTTTTCTTTGGGAAGCATTTGAAAGTGAAACAGTTAAGTCACAGATCAGAAAAAGGCAATCTTCAAAGTTTATGTTCTCATTATTAAAAAAGGAACCTAGATTCCCAGGGGCTCTTGCGCTCCCAACTTCAGAAATCTAAGCATCAGCATATATAACCTTCCAGGGAACAACACTAAGTAGATTAAGCTGCCACATCAACTGTGATTGATTATTGATTTAAAATATTGGGGGCTCTGTTATTGCACCAACACTATTTTGCGTAAATGCCTTGAAGAAAAATTTCCTTTTAATGGATTTGCTAAAGCAAAAGCTTAGCCTGAATTGCAAAGCAATGAGTGTTTTCTTTTATTAGGAAGATACTAAAGAAGATATTTTAAATCCCCTGGTTATGGATTTTTGAAGGTGATTAGTCCTGGCGCATGACTAAGACCCCAGGGTCCTTCCTCTGCAGGGGGCCTCCCGGCTGTCACTGCGGGCTCGAACGTGGGCTGTCCGTGCAGAGAACAGTCACCACAGCAGACACGGGCCAGTGTGTCACCCAGGGACACCGTGACAGCAAGACCTCAAGGTCAGTCCTCCTGGGGCCCAGAGGGCAACTCAGAAACTCAAACCCCAAGTGCTCTGAGGTGCAGCAGCCACATTAGGGTGACAGGGGCCTTCTGGGGTCACTGCCCTGGGAGGACAGCCTCGGGGGCTGGAGGGCTGCCCAGCTTGTAGCAGGTTTGTTAGAAAATGAGCTGCACAGGAATCAGCACAATGGCGGCCTCAGGAATGGAGGCTCGTGCGGAAGAGTTCATGGCGAGGCCCGGGGAACCTTCTGGGCTGTTGAATGTCCCGGGTCTCAGCTGGGGTACACACTACATATGGTTGTCAATCTTGTCAAACTGTGTCCTTCAAATTGTGTATTTTATTATATATGTCTCATACTTCAATTTTTAAAAAATCTAGAAATCAAGTCATAGAACTTTGTGCCTCAGAGACCTCAGGAAAATTACATGGGAAGTAATTCAAGCTTCCACATCCATCTGCTTCACACTGTACAATACATGAAGCCCCTGAGTGCAGAGCCCAGCCTGAGGGATACACAGCACGGGGACTCCACCTCGAGCACCCCTGGGCCCCGGCCCAGCCCTGCGCGGTGAGCTGTGGCTGTGACGGGGTGGCTGAGAGGTGCGCAAGCCGCCGCCCAGCCATGCTCAGCTGCCCTGGGGCACACCTGGGCCTTGGGAGAGGGAACTGTCCCTGGACAACGGCACTCCCGATGTATTCCTTAACCCTGTGTGACCCTGGCCAGGTTACCCGACCTCACCATGCCTCAGCTGTGAAACGTCAGTAATAGTACTGTCAGACTGTGCAGAAGTGGGGGCACCAGGGAATGAATATCCATGCCCCCCAAATTCAAGCTGAAGCCTGGATTCCTAGTGTGATGGTGTCAGAAGGGGGCCTCGGGGAGCTGATTAGTTCATGAGGGCGCAGCCCCTGTAACGGGATTAGAGCCCTTCTAAGGGAATGAGGAGCCCCGAGCTGTCCCCACCGCCACTCCCGTGTGAGGACGGGAAGGTGGTGTCTGCACGTCAGGAAGGCACCTCACCAGATGTGGGACCTGCCGGCCTCATAGTCTTGGACTTCTTCCCCCAGAACTGTGAGAAGTGAATGTCTGCTGTTCAAACCACCCCGTCTACAGCGTTCTGTTATGGCAGCCCAGGCGGACGGAGACAGAGGGTTACGTGAGGTAACAGAGAAGAAAGTACTTAAATGGCGCCTGGCACCTAACAGCAATCGATACAGGATGGTTACTGTTATGATGGAAGTCTCATTAGCATGGAGACAGATTATAAATGTTAAGAAGAGAGCTTTGCACTCAGATTTTTAGTTATTTATTAATGCATGCAGCTGGCGTCCTCTGGTGCCAAAGGAACGTCAGTGGTGGGAAGTGTCCAGCCAGCCCGTAGGCTCAGAACAGCAAGTCCCTGGGATCGGCCTCTGGAAAGTGTTAACCTGCTGTTTCCTTTCCAACCCTCCCTTCCCCGAGGCAAAACAAGACACTCTACCTCCCGGAATGGGGGTCCAGAGACCTGTGCATCTGCGTCCCTGAGTGTTGCCAGAAGCACCTCCCCCTGGCCTGCACTCGAGCCTTAGGCCCCCACAATAGCCTGATGCTCCCCACGCTCCAACAGCACCTTTGCAATTTAGGAGAACCTGTAGAAACTGGTATTTTTATATTAAAGTCAAAGAACCCCCACCCCGCCCCACAGTCCGGCAGCAGTGACCAGAGGTCCCCCTTTCCGCCCACCTCGGCGTGTCTTACCTTCATACAGCCAGTCACTAAGGCCGTTGTAAATCACACCTTCTTTCCCGGTTGAGACCACGCGAATGGCCTGCTTCCCAACGTGTGCGCAGTAATAGATATTGTTTTCAAAGATAAATATCTAATTTGGAAAGAGAAAACATAGTGTTAACCAAGGAAGTGATAATAAACAGGGTGCTCTTAAAAAATTGGCAGTCAGCCATGTAGTCTGCATTTTCTTGGTGTATCTATTTGACTGAATAAAGGCAGTCTCAGGATCATTGGGGTTCACCCACCTCCAATACAGTCCACATTTAAGGCCAATCAGAGTCTCGACTCCTCAGGCTCCCACAACATTATCCTTTCCCGCGACTGGACGATGTGTGGCCTGATACTCTGGGGTACTTCAACATTAAATTGCGTGACTATTTTAGCTTTTGTATTTTCCCTAGCAATTAAGATGGGTGGGCTATGGAAATCTGGGCTTTATTCACTCAGGAGTCATCATAAATTACATAGTGGCCCCTATGCTACGCCAGTCACAGAGGAGCCGTGATGAACGGGGGTGGGGAGGGGGCATCAAGTGCTTGTGTTCCACTTATGACCTGGGGAGGAAGACAAGCCCGATGGGACCACTTCTCAGGGTCTCAGGGGGCAGGTGCAGCTCTGGGAACATGGAACGGGCTCCCTGCTGAGGCCAAGTGCAGGCAAGGATTCTTTAAGAAAGTGATGGAGAAAAGGTTTTTTTTTTAAATTGTGGAAAAATATACACGATGTGGTTTGCCTGTGTAATCACCCTTGAGTGCACAGGCCAGTGGTTAAGCGCATTCCCGTGGTTGTGTGGTCATTACTATCCCCAGAACTTTTTCATCTTGCAAAACAGAGACTGCCCCCATTCAGCGGACTCCCCGGCCCCAGCCCCCCGCCTGGGCCCCACCTTCTACTTTCTGTCTATGAGTCTGACCGCTCTAGGGAGTCTGAGAAGCGGGATTTCAGTCCTGTCTTCCTGTGACTGGCTTACTCCACCCAGCAGAATGTCCCCCAGGCTCACCCACGCTCTGGCATGCGACAGGGTTTCAAGAGAGCGATTTTTAGCCTGAGACCTGAATGAGGGGTAGGGTGAAGAAAGGGGCTGAAGAGAAAAGCGAGGCAAATGTGGGCAAGGGTGGCACCCACCTCCCAGTGAACTGTCCTGTCGGGTGGGAGGGGTGTGGGGGGGCTGGGGGTGCAGGATGTGGACCCACCTCCCATTGAACTGTCCTGTCGGGTGGGAGGGGGGGCGGAGGGGCTGGGGGTGCAGGATGTGGACCCACCTCCCAGTGAACTGTCCTGGTGGGGTGGGAGGGGTGTGGGGAGGGGCTGGGGGTGCAGGATGTGCACCT